GGTGAAATCTGCTATGATTAAATGGGCACAAGATGTTGGACATAATAATATGTTTGCTGACTGGGAACAGTTATGGACCACAGGTATGAAGTTTACGGCATGTAATGCCCTAAGAGAGAATATTATGAAAATGATATACAGGTGGTACATGACCCCAGTCAAGCTTGCAAAAATCTATCATTTGCCTGATAATAAATGCTGGAAATGTAAAGAAACTGAAGGTACATTCTTTCATCTTTGGTGGACGTGCCCAAGGATTAAGGCTTTCTGGGAAATGATATATAATGAACTGAAAAAGGTATTTAAATATACCTTCTTGAAGAAACCAGAGGCCTTTCTTCTGGGCATTGTCGACCAATTGGTGCCAAAGAAGGACAGAACTTTTTTATGTATGCTACAACAGCAGCAAGAATACTCATTGCAAAGTATTGGAAGACACAAGATCTACCCACTTTGGAAGAATGGCAGATGAAGGTGATGGACTATATGGAATTGGCAGAAATGACTGGCAGAATCTGAGACCAGGGAGAAGAGTCGGTGGAAGAAGATTGGAAGAAATTTAAAGACTATTTACAGAAATATTGTAAAATTAATGAATGATAGAATGATGTTGGATAGTAATTAAGCGGTTTCCAGCTGTAATGTTCTAAGAGAATATGAAAAAGGGTTATAAATGGGTTAAAATCTAATGGTAAGGATTTGCTGAACCAATAAATTGAAGTGGAATACAAAAAGGGAGGTACGAGGAGGTCCGGGAAACAAGCTAAAGGAAAATAAGTAATAGAAAATATGTGTGTTTTTAACTGTTTTTATTTTGTATTTTTCTTTTTTCTTTTTCATTTTCACTGTAATATTTCAAAAAACCTTAATAAATATCTTATAAAAAAAAGAAAGAAAGAAAAGGAGGAGCCATCATTGATGAGGGGGTGCTGATAGGGGGCAACTTCCTGCTGGTGCCAATTGGCTAGAATATAACATGGTCTCTTCTCTCCCCCCCCCCCCCCGTCACTTGTATGGATAATTGCTCTAATTGAAACTGTACTTTCAGGAGAATGTTTCTGAAAGCAATTTAAGGAAAGGACAGATTGTAAAACAGGCCACATCCTGTAAATTAAAATAACGAACTAGAAGTACGGTGCAAATTAGCTCTTAAAGGGAGAGGAATGAAATCACATAAAATGAAATGTGTGTCTCTGAAGAGAACATTTGGAATTACATTTTCCTTTTTTCCTTTTTAAGTGATGCGTCCTACAGAGGAGGAAGAGAGAAAGATAGATCCAGGAATATTTTTCAATCGTCAGTCAAGACATTCTCCTCCTTTCACGAAGGACTTTTAAACATCCCCTTTGATCTTCTAGCCACAGCAATTTTTGCCCGGGTTAATAAAACGGCAGCACAGATCATGGCGAAAAAGAAATCATGGCTAATTAGGAAGCATAAGGTTCCACATAATGATAATAAATGCACAACGCTTGCATCAGCAATTGGGACAATTTGCTTTCTGAATGTATCACAGGCTTAGAACTCTAGCCTCCCCGAGGTATCTTGTAAATTCCCATCTTTGAAGCCCCAAGTCCAATTTACATTTAACAGCAAAAACTGTACAGTTAAAAGATTACGAGAAAGAAGCTTAAGAACCCCAGTGGTTAATTGATCTAGCCTTGTTTCCTTAAGCTGTACATTCCCTTGAAACCTATTGTTTTCTTTTAGCTTTATCAAGCATTTTAATGTGGCTGAAACAGGCTTGTAGCTGTTTCCTCTGTGTACAAACTCCCAAAAGCCAAATTATTCGGGGCTGTTCTGAACACCAGAACAGGCTGTGAAGAACTCCCCCCCCCCAAAAAAAAATCTTTTCAGGCAAGGTAAGTGAGCAAGATGGCAAATTATAGATTAGATGCACAGTAAGTATAATGCCATTCACACTGGAATAACTAGTCTTCAATGGGGGCAAATAATCCCAACATCAGATTTCCTTCAGCACATATATTTCTAAGGGTAAACAAGAGTGTAATTGCTCAATAAATAAATAAGTAAAGAACTTGATTCTGACTAAGGCTGCCTTCTTTGGCCCAAAGGCAGCATTCAACCTTGGCCAACCCGCTAAAGTCCACATGCTGGGAGTGGCCACCCACCCACAGTCTGCCTCCCCTCCTTAGTTGATTAGGAAAATTTGCTGGGGGAATTCAATCAGGCCTCCAGGCCATGAGTTAGTCATCCTAAGAACATAAGAGGAGCCCTGCTGGGTCAGGCAAATGGCTCATCTAGTCCAGCATTCTGTTCTCACAGTGGCCAGTCAGGTGCCCATGACAGAAGTAAATAAACAGGGAATCCGCAGAGTGTCCCTATCTGCTCTAGTGAGCCAGCATGACCACAAAAGCAGGTCCCCATCCTCTTTACTGGGGAGAAGGGGGTGTCCCCTGCAGAGATGCTGGGTTTTGGGGTGTCCCAAAGGTCTCTGGAGCCCAGTGTAATACAGTGGTACCTCGGGTTAAGTACTTAATTTGTTCCGGAGGTCTGTTCTTAACCTGAAGCACCACTTTAGCTAATGGGGCCTCCTGCTGCTGCCGCGCCACCGGAGCACAATTTCTGTTCTCATCCTGAAGCAAAGTTCTTAACCTGAAGCACTATTTCTGGTTTAGCGGAGTCTGTAACCTGAAGCGTATGTAACCTGAAGCGTATGTAACTTGAGGTACCACTGTATAGGAGATGATGCTCTGCCTCTTCCTCCTTAGGAGAGGGTCATGGGGAAAACTTTTTTTTCAAAAATTTTATTGATTTTCCAAAATTTATAAACAAACAAACATAAATCCTAACTGTAATTATTCCACTCTTAATAACATTGTTAAGTGACTTCCTCGAATCCCCCCGGCTGAGTTTCAATGTATATCATTGTAACAGTTTTCCAAAACAAATTTCTCATAAAATTTACTTAATCAATTAACATCTTTCAGGCATAGATGTGGCTCTTGGTCATCTTGGATGAAAGAGATGAAGCTCAGTTGGGTGATGGCGCTTGGTATAACAAGGTATTGGGTTGGTTCATTAATATAGTTAAAGAAAGGGCAACTTGGAAGGTCCTCATTTAGCCCCCCACAAGATTAGGCTGAGAGAGGCAGTGGCTGGCCTCCAAGGTTACCTGGAGAGTGGGTGGTTTGAACCCTGATCTCCCGCAGTTCATGGCTGGTCTCCCAGTGAGCTTTATGGCTGAGTGTGGATTACCTTACCCTGTATCTTGTGTCGGAGATACATACAGATTGTTATGCGTGGCACACAGCAATCGTAGAGCCATAGAATTGTAGAGCTGGAACAGACCCCTGTCATCTAGTCTATCCCCTGCAAAGCAGGAATCACAGCTGAAGAATTCCTGGCAGATGGCCATCCGACATTTGCTTAAAAACTTCCACTGTAAGAGAGTCATGCACCTTCAGTGACAATCAGCAGGAATGGAGTAGGTCGAAGTTGTCTGAAAGAGTCCGACATGCACAACTGGACTCCATGACTATCATATACAGTGGTACCTCTGGTTTCGAACGGGATCCGTTCCGGAGCCCCGTTCACAACATGAACAAATGCAACCCGCGTGTGCGTGGGTCGTGATTCGCCGCTTCTGTGCATGTGTGTGACGTCATTTTGAGCGTCTGCGCATGCACAAGCGGCGAAACCCGGAAGTAACCCTTTCCGGTACTTTAGGGTCGCCGCAGGATGCAACCTGAAAAGACGTAACCTGAACCGAACGTAACAAGAGGTATGACTGTATGGGCAAGCAAGATTTTGGAACTAGTCCACAGTATGGGGTACAGCTGTCAAGTTTTGCTCCTAATTCCACTTCACCTCTAACATTTGGAATATATCTCCATAATTATGCCTGAGGGAAAGCACGGCTGCCTGAATCCATCCTGTGAGGGTGCAATTCCTGACCCTGTGATCATGACTAAGGTAAAGGTAAAGGACCCCCAACAGTTAAGTCCAGTAGCAGAAGACTCTGGAGTTGCGGCGCTCATCTTGCTTTACTGGTCGAGGGAGCTGACGTTTGTCCGCAGACAGTTTCCGGGTCATGTGGCCAGCATGACTAAGCCGCTTCTGGCGAACCAGAGCAGTGCACGGAAACACCATTTACCTTCCCACCAGAGCGGTACCTATTTATCTACAGTGGTACCTCAGGTTAAGAACTTAATTCGTTCTGGAGGTCCGTTCTTAACCTGAAACTGTTCTTAACCTGAAGCACCACTTTAGCTAACGTCGCCACGCGATTTCTGTTCTCATCCTGAAGCAAAGTTCTTAATCCGAGGTACTATTTCTGGGTTAGTGGAGTCTGTAACCTGAAGCGTCTGTAACCTGAAGCATCTGTAACCCTAGGTACCACTGTACTTGTACTTTGATGTGCTTTTGAACCATAATGGCTCCTCCATCTAAGCAGGGCTTGCAGCCAGCAGTAGAAAATGTCCTGTTACAGCAAACTGCAAATGCACCCACTCAACCCATGGTGAATCATGTAATGAGACAGGCTGTACCATGGGGTTGCAGGAGTTTCTCACCCTACGGTAAGGCGATTGCAAGACGTTCTTGCACAGAAACATGCAGATCTTGCAAAAAGATGCGAGGGCTGAGCTGCAGGCAGCTGTCAGAGGTGAGTCAGAGTTAAAGGACCGAAGCAGAGCTAGGAAGAAGTTACTCACGCAAGAAGCCTTCCTGTCCAAAAGGGCCCAGTGGGGTCGGGAGTTGAAAATACTTCACTGATAAGATGTCCCAAGCTCTGGTTCTGATGGCTCACCACACAAAGGTGCCACACAAAACCAATGGCTCATCATGTTAAATGTTTATGTACAGTACTGTTTTTCAAAACGGGATTTATAAATGTAGAGTGTATGACCACCTCTCAAAGAATACAGTAGTAATAAATCAGCTTGCGGATAATTGCACGATGCCTTACGGTTTTCAATAATATACTTGCTTATGCAACATCATACAATAAACTAAATTAAAACCAACCAATGGCTCCTGGCTCTATAGCTCAAGTCAGTAGAGCATGAGACTCTAAATCTAAAAGTTGTGGGCTCAAGCCCCACGTTGGGCAAAAGATTATGGCATTACAGGGGGTTGGACCAGATGGCAATTGTGGTCCCTTCCAATTCTACAAGTCCCTAACTTTTTTGCACCCCAGGCAATTGCCCTGTTAGGCCTCTCCCCCCACACACACACTATGCATCTGGGTAGGAATAATAATAATAATAATAATAATTTATTATTTATAGCCCAGCCCACTCTGGGCGGCTTCCAACAAAATATTAAAATACAATAGTGCGTCAAACATTAAAAGCCTCCCTAAACAGGGCTGCCTTCAGATGTCTTCTAAAAGTCTGGTAGTTGTTGTTTTCTTTGACATCTGGTGGGAGGGCGTTCCACAGGGTGGGTGCCACTACCGAGAAGGCCCTCTGCCTGGTTCCCTGTAACAAAAGCTGTTGTTGCCATCCTACAGTTCTGGGTCACAGTTAAGGAAAAGGCAACCGTGGTCAGAATCCTTAAGGTATATGACAGGGGTAGCCAACATGGTTCTCTCCAGATGTTGGACTTCATCTCTCATCAGCCCTGACTATTAATTTATCTAGTCCAAACACATCTCAGGCAGGCAGGGTTACCAGATTGGGGAAGGCTGGTGTATTCTTATTGACCTTCATGAATTTATATGGTGTTTGATTGCCAAAGTTTACAAGTATAAAAACCAATTGCAAAACAATGTAAAAGCATGTAAATAAAAATGTCCAATCAAACCATTTCATTGAAATATTAAAATAAGCATCCACGTTATTTAAAAATACAGTAAAGCAAGCACATTTGAACAGCGCAACAGTGAAGCACTCTCAGCGGATCCAGAAAGTCTGTAGCAGAGTCCAGAACTGCACTTGTGCTTTGAGAGGACCACTGCTTTCCCCAGCAGACGAAGAGAAAAGAAAGCTCACCTGGCAACTGTAGCCACAGCGGTTTTAGGAATTCACTTTCCTCTCAATTGGCCACAGAGGGGTTCACACGTTGTATTCAGTAGGTGTCCAGCCTCTGTACACAATAACTGAGCTGTACAAATCAACAAGTGTACCCTCCTCCCAGAAGCAGATTTAGGGGAGTGTGAATTGATGCTTTTGAATTATGGTGCTGGAGGAGACTCTTGAGAGTCCCATGGACTGCAAGAAGATCAAACCTACCAATTCTTAAGGAAATCAGCCCTGAGTGCTCACTGGAAGGACAGATCGTGAAGCTGAGGCTCCAATACTTTGGCCACCTCATGAGCAGAGAAGACTCCCTGGAAAAGACCCTGATGTTGGGAAAGATGGAGGGCACAAGGAGAAGGGGATGACAGAGGACGAGATGGTTGGACAGTGTTCTCGAAGCTACCAGCATGAGTTTGACCAAACTGCGGGAGGCAGTGGAAGACAGAAGTGCCTGGCATGCTCTGGTCCATGGGGTCACGAAGAGTCGGACATGACTAAACGACTAAACAACAACAACAACAACCAGTTCAGTCACACTGGGCACAGAGCCTTGGGGGTGCCACAAGGGGCACCACAACTATGATGCAGAATGGAAGGGGGAGAGGCAGGGGGGCGAATTTTACTTCTACATACGTAGAGACAGCTTGCATCTGTGTGAATTCTTTCCTTTTCTTTCTTTCTTTCTTTCTTTTTAAATGTATTTTTATTAAAGAATTTCTTGGTTTACAGTTCCAGTGCTCTCTTCAGCACTCGTTTTATTTTTACTGGCTAATTTTGCTTGTCTATCCCTCCTCTCCTCCAAAGAGCTCAAGGTAGCATCCATGGCTCTCCCCGCTCTCCATATTGTTCTCACAACAACCCTGTGAGGTAGGTTAGGCTGAGAGATAGGGACTGATCTCCAAGGTCAGTGAATTTCATGGCTGAGTGGAGATTTGAACCCTAGTCTCCCAAGTCCTAAATTCAGCACCCTAACCACTACACCACACTATCGCTAGGAAGACAATACATCACTAATGCAAGGAAATTTTTTGTTTATGGTTAAGTCAGGTAACCATCTTCAGACTGTGACAAAATATAGACCTCAAGGCTTCAACAGCCTACCAATTTTTCTGTAACAACCCCCCCCCAACCAATTCTCAACTTCTGCTTTGTAGAGCATCTAGCTTGAAGACGACTTCTGGAAAATTCAAAAGACTGCACACTCTTTAGTGACATTTTGGTCAGTACAGCCCAACTGTGGATTTCGGAGTTGTTGCTTTTCTTAAAGTCAAATGCATCTGTCAGTACATCAAAACCTACAAACAAAGGGCAGGTCCTGCTCACAAATGAAGCACGCAGAGAAATGCCACCCAATGTTGTTTGTCAAAACTGAAGCAGGAGTAATAATTATGGAACTTTGTGGTGAGACCTGGGGCAGATAATGCCACAGAGAACGATTGCGTGAAAGGATGATCACAAGCCGGAAAGAAGTCTTGAACAAACCCAACAGAACAGCACACCAATATGACAGGGAGGAATCAACAACACCAACCACCAAGTTTTATTATACGTCCAGAGATCACATTTAAAGCACACAAACACACACAGGGCATAAGGCTTTCCAGCGAGCTTGCACTCTGCCTCTCATTGTTTTCACAACTCCTTGGGGACTGTGTGTGAGTATGAGTGTGTGTGTGTGTGTGTGTGTGTGTGTGTGTGTGTGAAACGTCTCCTTACCTCCATTTATGAAGCGCAAAGCCCGGACACTGGTCACCGCAGTTGTTGCAAGGCCGCTCTCGTTCCAGCTCACCCAAGGCGGTCAACTTCATTCAAGAAAAAGAAGGAACCCCATGAATACAAACAATTTGTTCTGTGTCTCCCTCTCCCACCTCCCTGGCAAGAATGGCGGGGGGGGGGGGAGGACAGACCCAACCTTGTTAAAGACGCACCAGCTGATTGCTCACCCATTGATAAAATGAGGAGTAGATCTGTTTGCAAACATTTTTTTTTTTAATTATCTAAAGACAAATTTAATAAATCGCTCCATCGGGAAACGGCATCTCCCTCCACGGAAGAGTAGCGCTGGATGGTGGAAGGAGATGATTAGCATCTGAAAAGGTCCAGCTGGTGGGAAACTGACCCGGTTCTCCCCGCGCCTTGGACAAAGGGAGCAGCAAGTCAAGGTGCTGTGACCTAGCCATGGCGGGGGCTTTGCCTTTGGAAGCGGGTGGGCGCCACAGTGGGGCGGGGGTCCCGGACCAACCTGTTCAAAGGGTGGAGGGGGTGGAGAGGAGGTGCCCAGTGAGGCGCGATGCCCTGGCCAGGGCGCACGAGGGGGGTCTCTCCCTCGCTTTCCAGGGTGGGCTCGCCCTCCGGGACCCGTTTCTTTCCCCACGCCCAGACCACGACATAATCTTAGACCCGCGGCAGATTCCCACCCCCCACCCCCCTGCCCCCATACACCGGGTCTCCCAGACCACGCGATCGTCGCGGACTCACCGATCGGCTGGAGAGGCGCTTCCGCGCGCTCCGGCTGAACATGGCAGCGGCGAGAGGGGGGCTGTCCGGCCGGCCTGGGCGCGCTTCGGCTTGGCTAGGGTGGCCGCGCGCGCTGCGCACAGGGCGAGCCGAGGCTGCTGCGCCTTCCGAGCTAGGGGCCGCGGCGCAGCTGCTGGCGCTCCGCTTTTGCTTCCTCGCCGCCCGCCCCCCTCCCCTCGCAGCCCTGCCTGCCTCCCACTCGGCCCCCGGCTGCTTCCCCTCACGTGTCTCGGGCGCCCTTCGGGGCCGGGCGTGCCGTCACCGCCGCCTGCTCCTCAATGCGCTCTAGCGCCTTGATGCTTCCCTACGCGTCCTGCCGCCTGCCTGCTCCTCCTCCTCCTCCGGCATCTCCTTAGGGGGCCACCACCACCTCGCCTGCGTTGCGCTTTAGCTGGAGGCGCTCAGGCTAGTTGGGACCTGGCGCCTCCAGTGTCCCCCCCCCCCCGTCCTCCCCCTTCTGCCTTCGCTTTCTCCAGGTGCCACTTTCACTCACTTGCGGGTTGCGCGCACGCGGCCCACGTGGGATGGGGGGGGTGTCGCCCGCCTGCCCTGCAACTCTCGCTCCCACCTTGACTCCGTTCCCACCGCCGCCTCTGCCTAGGGAAGCCGGGTTTGCGCACGGCGTTGGTAGCCGCACGCACCATCCGTTATTGATCCTGGTATTGATCCTGCACCGTCTTAGGAAATATTGCATCTTTATGTGTGCCCTCCCCGCACCCAAAGCCGGCTTCGATCCGAATTGGGGGTGGGGGCGTGTGAGAGGAGAGAGAAGGAGATAGATGTGCTGTACGCAGGTAATGCTTCTATAGACAGTGAGGCCCGTTCAGTCTGTAGGAATACATTGATTTATTCACAAATAAGAGCCAACTGCCAATTCATCGAATAACAGTAATGGCCGCATGCAATAAAGTCACGAAAACATCATAAAATTATGGCGTCATAAAATGCAGGTCGTGCATCTGCAGAAAGAATTACCTGTCTTCGTTTTCTTGGATGGTTCCCAACTACATTCGGCAGCCATCCATTATAGTACATTGCATCTATACAGCATCAGGCAGCCATGGGTAGAGGGAGCTGGGGCATGCAGGATCGCTTGGGACTGGTTTGTAGGGTCAATTCTGTGTCCATGTGATGCTTCCCAAGGCCACTTTTGCCCCAAGTAATCAGCCAGACTGAGAAATGCCATCTCCAGGGGTGGGGAACCTTTGGCCTTCCAGATGTTGCTGAAATACATCTCCCACCACCCCCAGCCAGCACTCCCAGTAGTCAAGGCTGATGGAATCTGGAGTCCAGCAACATCTGGAGGGTAAAAATTTCCCCACCCCTGGGCTAGAGAATGTCTGGTCTGGGCTGGGCTCTCCGGGGCTGCAGCATCTTCTCAGGAATAACCTTGGTGATTGTGGTCACTGAATAATAATAATTACTATTATTATCTTTATTATTATTTATTAAATTTCCAGGCCACCCTTCATGTGAAGTGCACAGGGCTGTCTACAATATAAAACACACGCACAAAAAGACATCCCATAATAACAAACGAAAACAACACCTCTCCCTAGTTTAAATGTCCATAG